ACGACTTAAGCAACCGCAGCTTCTATTGCCAGAATCTTTTTCACCATTTTCTAGATTTTTTAACTGTTTCTCTCCATTTGTGTCTTTCAATTCACCTGTGTTTTCAGTTAATTTTGTGTCAAACTGCCTACAAGCATCAAGTTATTTAATAAGTATACATTCTCTGAATTTCACTTGAGAGTTTTCGTAGTTCCATGAAAAAATGTCTGGCAGTAAAGTGTACCTAGAAGCGGAATGTTGAAGATTGTTTTCTTCAATTATGCTATCAATTTCGTGTTGAGACAGAAAACCTGTTGCCATGTTATCATAATAAATAGTAATTTAAATATTTTTTCTATTTTTTTTTATTTCTTTTTATTTAAAAAAAACGTTGCCCCGCACTAGGATTTTCTCCTGTGCCTTGGGTGCGTTTACAAACATACAAATTCACATACACAATGACACCCAGACCCGAAACAACAATTTGTGGATCACACAAAGTGTTGTTCCGTGCGGGAATCGAAACCGCGACACGTTGCACGGCAGCCGGTTGCCCAGCCACCGCACCAACTGTGCAGTCATATAATATAGAAGATCCAGCAGTCAAACTATTTATATATAGTTTTGTTGGACATTGCGTTAGAAGGCATACCATGCACCTTTAATATAAAAAAAATAAATAAAAAAAAATTTAAGAGATTCAAAATCGTTTCGTTTCTCGGTTAAACGTTTAAAAATACTCATCCTCTTTGGTTTAAAGTCTTTAAACTTTTCATACGAAATTACCATTAACCTCCCTTAAACTGCACTCATGCACATCAAATAAAAACTCTACTAGCACAAGAAAGGGTAATCACACACTAAGCACGATGTTTTAAAACAGCAACAGTATTACAACACTACCTAACATTTTTCCCTAAGAGCCATACCATTGTTTATTTTTGTACCTTTTTATGCGACTTGACTGGCATTCATTAGGACCATTTGTAGGAATTACGGGCTTGAGTGACGTGTTGTCGAGATCTGGGACCGTGGTAGTGGAAGGGCGAATGGCTGACTAATTAGTGTTTGGTTATACTCGGTCCGTAGGCATTAGTGGGTGTAAGTTAACTAGCATGATGACTCCAATTAACAGAAGTAAGGAAGTGTCTTTTCTACACTTTATTTCTTTGTTTTTTGTTTATCTATAATTGTATTGTTTATACGGTAGTTTCTTAAAAATTCTCTGGTAGATTTATTTAGACACCTATTTTTCTTTTCTCATAAAATTAAATATTTTCGTCAATAAATTATTTTTAATATTGTGTCCCGACTCCTAAACTAAACTCCATTTTATCTACGTATTGTAGTTTTATATGAGAAAAAATCCGTGTCTGGCATTTTTTCATTCTCTAACCGACAGACTAATTAGATTTTGAATTTTCATACCCTATTATCTACCTTATTGTAGTTATTGTTTATGACAATGATATAAGGTCCCTTAATATAAGATAAGGTACCTATCCTACCGGTGTAATACCGTGTGAATGCGATACATTTCCTGAGTTAATAAAAATATTGCACTGCCTAATTTGCATGATTTGCTTTTTTTGCAAATTAAACAGAGAAAATTTCAAGTTTATAGTTGATCCGCATTTAATCTTATACCAAAATTATACAATAGTACTTGTATAACAATTCGATAATCGTAATGAATGGAATTATGTACTATATAATTATTAACTACGTATTTCTAACCATTCAACCATAGAACCTTTTAGACAGACTCAAACAATAACGTATTCACTGCTCAGTTCACAGCATATTGATGTATACTATAGCACAGACAACAGCGCATCAAGCTACCTCAATGTATGAAATTCCTTCAATAGATTTCATACTCTATCATTTTATGATAAAGTCTGCAATCGATTGGAGTAAGCGAGTAGCTTGATGTGCGTTTGTATAGATACGTTAGCTATTGTTTGGTAGCTCTGTAGTAATCAATTTGCTTCGATTGGCCACTACAAGTTGTATGTATGTGTGTGTAGGATCAAAACTGAAACTCGTACTGCTTGTTTTGTTTGCTTTGCGAATACTGAAATGTTTGTGTTCGCTATCAGCGATACTAGATCTAAATGTTAGCTGCAAAAAATATTTGACTATATTTTTTTGTGTCGGAGTATCATTGTTTTGCGTCCTTTTCGTTGATCTGTAAACCATTTAGTAGAGATCACAACTTTTTGGATGTCAAGATTATTATTGCACTTAATTTATTTATTTATTATTTCATGTACACACGGCTACACATCGAGTTTTACATAACCAGTATAAACTGAACGTTAAATGTGCGGAAAGATGATGCGACGCGACACCAGGTTAAACTGGTTCTGTATAGATTGATGTGTGGCCGTGTGTACCTACACCATACAGTAGACAATATAACAAAGGACAACATAGGTACTGCATATTTCTTAAAGGATTTCTTCCTGCAGACCTGCGACAGGAAAAGGAATTTAAACATTAGACACAGTGTAAATGATACATACAATTAGTACAAAACAACTAATGATAGAATGGAAATCAATATCAGCCTGTATCGGCACCTCTTTATCATCTTCATCATCATTCTTCATCATTATTAGCCATAAGATATCCGCTGCCATGAATATAGACCGGCTTCCAGATCAGCCCGTTGGAAGGAACCTATATGAAACCTCTGTCAGCCACGACTGTCACTGTGCACACTGTTAAACAAACAAAATAAATAGATTTCAAATAGAATTTTGAAATCGCCAACCCGCATTGAGCAAGCGTGGTGATTAATGCTCAAACCGTCTCCATGTGAGAAGGGCTTTGCTCAGCAGTGGGCATTTATAAGCTGTTTATGTGATGTGATATAATATATAAAAATATATAAATATAATAGTTTACGTTGTATTTTTTTTCAGTCATTAAAAATTTTACTCTAGACAAAGATTGTCTATAAGAGATCGCGTTTGCGATAAGACAGCCCATTGTGCACTATATTTATTGTCTGTTATCCTATAATTATGTGGTGTGCAATAAAATATTTTATATATAAATAAATATAACATAAAACACAACAAAGATTCCCGGGTCGGGCAAAGTTTTACTGGGTTTTTACAAAATTCTCAGTAGTAGCACGGAGTCTGGAATTGTGCCCGGTATGTGGTAAAAGGCTCACTCCCTATTACATGGGACTCATAACATAAAGAGTGAAAAGTGGGTGTTACATTATACAATGGCATAATGTGCACCTCTGCCTACTCCTTCGGGAACAAAATATGTTATGTTATATAACATTATAATATCCAAAACAGTATTTGAATTAAATGAATAGTCCGCAACAGGAACACAACAGTACCGCCATTAATATTTCCCGCGAGTTCTCGGCCCACGATACATTACTCAGCTTGCACTATAAAATTCTAAAGAAACTCGTTTCCATTCCCTCCAGATGGAAACATAAAGGGGTTCTCCCATTATCCATTTTTATCGTGTCTTCATACAATGAAACTCGATATGAATAATGGCAGAACTATATACGTCAGTGAACTAAGATATAAATCTTTCAATAATCGATGTTGTTCCGATGTTTATTTATTGCATCGATACTCGAGTATCGAGATCTCGATGCGAGTATTTTTTCTCTCGATTATAACAATGGGTGATTTATTGTTGTGTGACCAGGTCGGGCTTTGTTGGTGTCTTCGTTAGATGTTAGATTACTTATCGATGCAATTGGAATGTCTTAATTTTGTTGGTTGTGACTTATGATTGGTTGGATACGATTATGTATCAACGTATGTTTTGGTACATACTTATTCTGTAAAATTTATTACTACATCTGTCTCACATTGGGGTAGGTAGAGACAATGAACGCCAAATTACACAATAAATTTAATATGAGATTCATTTCTGGAGACTACTTAAAACATCTTATAATGATTGACTTGGTTAGGAGTCAAATCTTCTTGTAAATTTTCAACACTCATGACGTCATCTTATGACAGATTGACAAAGTTCAATAACACTAAATAAAATATAAAATATACTCAACATACAAAACTATGATATATTTAATATACTAATATTAGTGACCCCATCCAAATACTAAAGTGATGTGAAAATAGGGTAACAGGGTAACACAAGTGTGTTATTTGCTGCTAGTGATGTTTGGTTACCCTAAATGTTTACTTAGGGTCAGTAGTACTTACCCACTGCCGATATTTTTATGTTCAACACAAATTCTATTTAATACTTCTTCTGTGTCGGATTTTTATTATGACGTAATAATATAATATTCTGAACATCGCATTCACCAATTCTGTTAAGATTATCATAATGAGAAGTGTAGCCTTTTGCCAATTTCTCATACAAAACTCTTGCTTTAAGTGAGAATTTAAAAAAAAAACAAAATCTCGAATGGTATTTCGCGGAACCAACGAATAAACCCAAAACTCATTTTACAAAATTAGCTCTCAACGCGACAAAGTAATAGATTTTTATGTCGTACTCAAATTTTGTATAATACTTCTCTTGTATATGCTAACTCATAAAAACATGTAAATAGACTTTACACAACCCTTTACATTTTAATTACAAACTTTAATTAATTTAGGCATGTAAATTATTTATTTGAACTGGTTTTATCTTTTGAACGATAAATAATTAAACTTCGATCAATGTAATCAATTGTTCTGTGTTCCATAATTACATGACAGCAACAATTTGGACCTACATTTGAAATTTACAAGCTGATTGTAAAAATATTATGTTAACCCAGTCATAAAAACGGGTAAATTGTACGCACAGTCATTATAAAAATATTTATTCGAATTTTTTTAGCTTATAAAACATACATTTACACAAATTAAATTTTATAATGGCTGAGTAAAAAATCCATTGTATTTTAGTTAACTAAGTTAAGTTACTTATTATGTAATTTAAATAAGTTAAAAAACATGCCACAACCTCTTTAAACATTTAAAAATAAAAAAGCGAAAATACGACAATCGCTCGCGTTCCAAATATGAAATCTTCTTGGCAGACGAAGAAGAAACCGAGCCGCCAGAATTATATGTGACAGAAGAAATTGAAGAAGCACCGTTACCCCCAATTTTGGCGCCACAAATGCCAACTGTTAATGACACTGGCAATATTTATATTCGATATTTGACACGTAAGTTGTTCTGAATTTAAATACATTGATTCTTCTGTTGCAGGTCCGCTGATTCTTCTGGGGTGGCGATGTGATTGTTATTTTTTAGTTCTAATTTTATTTGTTTGATTTGGTTCTAAATTTTGCTGTGTGGTAAAAAATGAAAATTCTATCGTCTCTTTTTAATCGTAAGTAAATTAAAATCTGCATCTTAAGGCAATTCATTCACATAATAGTACCGATACAACAATTAAGCACTCAAAAATTTAAATCCACAATTTTTACCCATCCGTATAACAGTTATTCGCCATTTTCAGCTACCAAATAGAATTATGCAAATGAATGCTTCACCGTACAGTTCAATATAATAAATTTCATACAGTTTAAATCGCAATACACTTCTATTCGACCCGCAAAACCGGTTATAACCGGTAACGTCCAGATTATTGTCATAAATTGCCTATGCGGATATATGCGACCGAACGGCGTATGCACATTTCGATTAACTCTATTGGGCGACGTAATGAAATGCTCCTGTACAATAAAATTAAATCCGTCGATGTCGTAAATTGATTACCTACATGTAATCATTTCAAATAAAAATTGGGACATGTTTTGTTTTAAATAGCCTTTGTTATTGGATTTTTATTGGTACGGTCGATGGGTTTCACAATTAAACCAAAAACATTTACAGTCTTAACACTGGGGGTTTATGAAACGTTCGAAGCGAAATAATAAAGATGGGACACAAAATTAAACGTCCGATATCTAGTTCGAATTGTAGCTGGCCATTAGCATGTTCAAAATTCGAATTCCGAAACCGAACGACCATTCTGCCAACATTAAATTCATAATGGACATCCTACGTAGTGTTGGACACACGACACATTTCTTCCTTGTTTTTGCGATCGTAAACGAGCATCGAGTCGGCAACTCGGCATTATCGAATCGCAAGTGCTATCATAAAGCAAACGAGACAGCATCGAAACGATTTCGTTCAACTGTATAATGAATACTCGATAATAATTGATCGCAATATTTCTCTTTGTTACTCGAGTTTCTCGTTTGCGGGAACTTTATGACGTCACTGCTCGGTAATTGGTATCAAGCATCGAACGAACAATGATTGATGAGCGTGTATGAACCCCTTTTTTAAGCGGTAATCGCATTTATAATGAGGAAGGAGAGGATTAGTGGGGTTGCACGTAATCTAGTGTTGTTTTAGAAAGCTAAAGCAGTAGTTGGCTATATACAAACAAGTTGTTAAGCCAATACTTTGTTTGTGACCATATACAAAGTGTAAGGGAACGTTCGCGAAAAGTTGACAAAGAGGAATTGTTTTTACATTTTTCATCGTTTTTTTTCTTTTATTCATGCAACATCAGCCTTAAACAGTTGATGACAACTATCACTACATATTGTTGTAGTATAAAACAAAGTCGCTATCCGCCATCTGTCTGTCCCTATCTATGCTTAGATCTTTAAAACTACGCAAAAGATTTTGATGCGGATTTTTTTAACAGATAGAGTGATTCTTACGTATAATACATACATATTGCGTCCGTGCGAAGCCGGGGCAGGTAGCTAGTTATTACATAAAATAACAGAAATATTTCCTTTCTTTTATGAAAGTAAAACTTGTTTTCTACCTTCACCTGTCGGCGTTTTTCGGGAGCGATCCATTTACTGATCCATTTCTGAATGAGAAACTGCAGATTAATTACGAAAAACTTCATAGAAAAGTCAAACTAAAAATGAAAAGTCACCGTTAAAATAATTTGATAATTTAAAGCTTATCACCGGTGACCGTATCAATTTAACACCGCGGTGGCGTCTAGACTCGCCGTAATTTAATCCGGTTAGCGCTGAGTGACAGGAGCAAAAAAGTAGTGGTATTTTTTTCTGAATGCGTGCGTCGGCACGTCCCGACGCCCATTTCAATCCGGTTCACATATAAAACGTGATCATTCACCTCTACCGGTGAGGAATAAACAAATCCGTCATAGATTTGACAGGCCCGTAGGTAACGTGATGCTAAAGCAAATATTAGACGCTAGGCTCTGTGGCCTATTTTGATGTTGCACGGGACGCTTTCAAGCGCTTGTAAGCGCTTTACTAAAGCTAGATCATTATATATAATATAACATAATATAAAATTACGCCTTTTATTCTCTAAGGGGTAGGCAGAGGTGCGCATTATGCCACTGTACAATGTAACACACACTATTTACTATTTATGTTATGAGTCCGATAGCCATATACCGGGCACAATTCCAAACTCCGTGCTACTACTGAGATTTTTTTTAAACTCAGTAATTCTTTGCCCGATTCGGGAATCGAACCCGAGTACCTGGCCAACGGGGCAGTCCTTTAAATATCTCCTTAAAATATAAGCGTTTGTATGAAATGTATTATTAACAGTAGTTGTGTGTACTTAAAAAATAAACAATTGGCTGATTCTCCACCTCAAACATACAGACAAGGCATTAATTTGTTATTAAACTAGCTTCTAATATTTACTACAGTATTTACTCAAAAATATTTAATTTAACTCACAAACAGAATAATAGAAAAGTTTGTATTATTACACAATCTCTTTGCTTGTTAATCTGCTAATTCAACGAGGTATTCGAAAAAGCACAAAAAATGAAGTCCGATTGGATATAAAATAAACTTGTATATCCTTAACTAAATATGTTATTAAAATCCTTCGTCTTTCAGAAAAACCATCAAACGAATATAAACCTTATTCACTTTAATGGAATTTAAACCAAACGTGAATCCATCATCGAAAAAAAATAACACAAAACCACTATTACTCTTAATTAATTTACTTGTATCAAATCAGGATACTAAACCACGTAATTAATAACCATTGCCAATCAGCAAGCAAATTTCAACTTTAATATAGCTTACTGTCAATAGAAACTCAATTGACAGCACTTCACTGTACAACACTCAATAGCATTGAAAAGCTCCATTCACATACAATTAAGGCTCTCTTCAAACTGTTTTACGCCTCGGCGTTTAGCTTACAAGTGCATAGAATGCATGTACTAGGTATGTAGCCACCCTTATTACACGTTACGTTAGTTGCTGACTACAAACTCACACGAGCCGCGCCCTGGGAGCTCACTCCGTCATTCAGTATGAATTGTTCCATCCCCTCTCCCATCCCTTTTTATCCCCCTATATCGCGCGAGATCCGATCTACCTTTTTTGATTTCTCTAATCTGAGCCCCTCCGCAGTGTCCATTCTATGAATATATTAACTTTTGTGTGACAATCCTCAAAAAAATACGTTACTCCGTACGTTTATTAATGCCGCTTCGATCGCATCGCCCAAGGGACGATACGTGGAACTAAACGGGATTTCATTTTCTAGTTCAGAAATCAAACGCTCCCGCGGCGTTTGTCCAATGTTCTTTTTCGAGATGGTCCCTTTAGATAGGTATTTTTGTTCCGGACCGTTGGCCGAGACGTCGGAAAAGTTGCTCTACGTGTCTACATAATTGTTTCGTTGCTGTACTCGCATTTTTCGACAAGATAATGCCATTAATCTCGTTGCGAATAATGAAAATGTACCGCGGGACGCTCAGTGCTCTTCCTGTGTAATTTTGTGGAAAACAATTCCGTAGAATTGTCTCCGTGTGTCGTGAGAGCTGAAAGTTTCCGGCAACTTTCAGCGACTCTTCGCTCAAGAAATTAAATTTATCTGTCGCGACTGTTTAGAGTGGGTTACGTCTAGAAAGTCGTAGTCTCAAATTGTATCTAAATAGTCGGAGTGCTCCTTAACACAGTTTTAAAATAAATGATGACGATTTTGTTTAGCTGTCGTATTCGAGTCTTTTTAATACAAAAAGGATCTCACTATTCAATTCTTATTATTTCTACATGGAGCGACCGCTGTCCAACCCTAGGGAAATTAGGATTTCACAATGTAATGTCATGGTGCTTGTGGTTAGACGAAATCGTACGCCGGCGGTCAGGTACGGAGTGTGTGGATTTTATCTAAACGTTCTAGTTTTGTTTAAGACTAGTGAAATATTTAATGCTCTCATTGTAACAGCGAAATTTAATTTAGTTATGTAACTGTGTATGATTATGACATGTTTTAATTAACTGTATATATACATGCAATTGGTAACTTTATAATTGTACTTTAGACGAGTGGGTTTAAGGTCAATTAACAACATATTATGTATATTTTCTGTTATTTTTTATTATTATTATTATGTTAAATCGAACACCGACTAATATCATATAATCGTTATACCAAAATCAACCTAACAATCAAATACATAAAGCATTTTATCCTTCACAGATCCGCCGGAGATCACGATCAGGCCTCGGAACCTGCAGGTCAAGGCGAACGGTATCGCTGCCTTCTACTGTGCAGCGAGAGGAGACCCCATACCCAACATACAGTGGAGAAAGAACGGCAAACGAGTATCTAGTAAGCATTGACAGACTGACACAATCTCTATAAAAATATCTACTATGATCTTACCTCTCGCCGTTGATCAGCCGAGGCGCAAATAACATTAATAATCTAAATGTAAAAACTTCTTTGCTTGAATATTTATTCGTCAATCACACTAAGACAACTGAACGAAATTTGATGAACGGTATACAGAGAGGGTATGAGCTAACTCGTGTGATAGGTGATAGGATATCCTTTTTATCCCGAATAAATACATCCCTGGCATGAAACAGGAATACGCGCGCAAAGCCGCGGGTAAAAGCTAGTTGATTATTATCCGTTCCTTCTCTGGCTCTAAAAATACCAGCCACCTACATAATTTTACTGAAATGTTGCGGATGTCCATAGGCGGTGCTGTTTGCTTGCTATCAAATGATCCGTCTACTCATTAACTCCCTATTCCATATATTTTAGTTGTATAGTCTACGAAATTAGCTCAAGAACCATAGTAATTGCTAACTAACCCACTTGTTCCTAATTGAGCCAATTATCCTCCTGAACTATACCTTCACCTAACTATGAGAATTTAGGCCGTTTAATGGTCTAGATCATAGTTTAAGTGCAACGACCTGAAAACTTGTGTTAGCTATAAATACACACATGTGACAACTATCGTCCAAAGAGAAATATTGGAAACAAATAGATGGAAAATTATGGGTGAAAGTTTGACAACCTTTTAACAAAAAGTACTTTTATTTCGGCAAAGTATTTGAGGACGAAAATATTACCATAGGCAAGCTGTGAGCCCTGTAAGTGTAAACAATACACCAAGGGACCAAAGCCCCAACAAAGCCGAAGTGGAACCGATATCAAAATCCAAACTGCAAGACATTACTTCCACTATTTTTATCCTTGATTGAAATGTAGAGCCACGTTTTTATCCCATAAATATCTTGGCCGGTAATGACGTCTATAAGCCTTGGGCAATGAGCTGAAAAAACGTAACGTTTGGCTACGCACGCTACCCCCCGCACCTGGCCGCCCCTCAGAATGGCGTACCCAGTAAATAGTTTCATTGGATCCTATGAAAAATGTAATCGTACATCATTGGGGGGAATCAGTGACCATAAAAGAGTAATGACCTCGTTCGCACCCACCGGTCTCATTCCATATTCAACGTTATCAAAGTTACTTACGATTTGTCCAACTGTCGACGCGTGCGATCCATCAAATGTTGTCACGGTTTGTGCGGATTTCTTTGAGCATGGAATTGTTTTTTTTTCTCTCTCCTCTTACCTTTTTTCCGGAGTTGTTTATGTTTCTTGATTTGTTTTTTTACTGCTTTTGCGTGAAAGATTTTTGGTATCTTTTAATTTATGAGACACGCTTAGAAGCGTTGCGTTTTAATAACAATAAGTAAGTGAGGAAAGTTTTAAGTTTTGACAACCGTGTCGTATTGTAATGAGAAAAAATACATAATTTATTAACAGTTAAGAAATTAATACATTAATGTTTGGCCACTATGAGAATACAAAAAAAACTAAAATAATATGTCAAAGCGAATGTGGTTATAACAAGGAAAGGCAATAAGCCAAATTTTGTTTATTTGTTTCCTAGAGATATTGTCTATTAGATAGTTTGACACTTTCGTGCGTGACCTTTTATACTCTGTGGCAGTTGCGCTACGTTTTTCCGTGTGACTTATTCTTTTTGACAACTGTTTGAGTTATCAATATTTATTTTGTTATTAAAGCATCAAGTGGACTATTTAGTGTTGTATAATTAATAATGTAACATAACACAGTATCGTCTACGACCATAATAAAATTAGACGTGTAGAATATATTTATTTAATCGTTTGACAAAAGAGAACAGGATTCCATTTAATTAAAACGACAAAGTTCATAAGTTGACGTTATATCCACTGAACTTTGACAGGTCTCGATCCGTAAGTATTAACTTTGGAGAGGCGTCGGAAACATTTTGTTTCAAAAATCGAATCTACGTTCCATAAAATTCTAATTTCACCGACAGCGGTACACTAAATTCGCTGATAGCTGTGGCCGGCCGACTAGTTGCCGGCGGCAAAACGTTTTTGTGACTGTTAAATTGTGACAAAAATAGTTCTGTTTATTTTATTATTCCGATACTGCTCGCTGACCTAGTTATAAAAATAGTTTTTAGAAAATATAACCCATATTTTGACGATAAAAATACAATATTTAATACTTTAGTATCAGTGCATTGCCTTGTGCTGAGCTAAACCTCAATTTACAGCCTATCGTATTTTTCCCTGGACATTTTGTTCCAGCCACCGGAAAATAATTTCACAAGGAAACCACGTCTAAATGGTTTAGCCGCTTTTCAGCTGTACATGCGGCAAACAATTTGAACGTAACGTTTCCAACAAACTGAGCAATAAAACCGACGACGGAGCAAAGTCACAGCGCGCGTCACACGCTAGATTGACAATCACGAGTCGCGTCGACATGTCGGCCGCCATGATGGATGACGCCTGGCCCCCACCGCAGATAGGGATGTGCTGTGATACTAAGCCGTACGGCCTTATGATCTCTGCTTATAACGATTTATCTTCTGTTTTTAATTACTTTTTATTACGTCTCGGCTAAGCTAAATTGTATTATGATTTTTAGTCTCGTGTAGGAATAGAAAAAGCTTGCTAGGTAGATAAGAAATTGGGAATACGAAGGTATTGGCTTTCCACTATTTTATTCTGAGAATAATCTCAGTGTCCGAAAACCTGCTTTGATTTCTCAATTCTCGGCACAATTTCATACTATCAACTACGTGGGACTTCATTTTGATCTAGAAATCAACTATAGCACTATCTTTTAGTTCAAAGTTACCGTCACTTCAAAGTGTGATGGGAGAATATGTGAAGTATGCGCGATACAAGTTAAAACTAAACAAAATTCAAAAAAATTCATTAATTTTAAATTTCTTATTTGACTGGTCACTTACTTATTGACAGCTAACTGAATTCTAAAATTGATTTTAACAAAGAACCTCATCACGTCACTTGGAGCTGTGACATACATAAGCATGAGCCGTAATTATTCCATTCCCAGGCTCCCTTTATCAGCCCACGCCGAAAACCAATCGAAAAAGTTCCATATTTCAACAGGCACGATGTCTATTAAAACTGATTTTTTCTCTTATCCGTATACGGCTACATATCGATCTATACAAAACCAGTGTATTATGGTCTCGGTTTATAAAATCTGTTAGAACATTCGACGGTTAGTTTATACTGTTTGTGTATAGCTTGACGTGTTGCCGTTTGTACGAAGTTACCTCCTTTAATATTTCTTTCTGACCACGTGTTTCTGATATAACTTTACGACTGTTCCATTTTTTATTACGAACCTTAGATCTTGCGTGTGGAATGTGTAGTGTTGGTCTCTTTTCGCTTGACATTGAAATGACCAAATCTGGTTGTCCTATAACTTTTACAAATATATCGATGAAAGTGAATAATATTCATTTCTGATTCCAATTCATGCTACATTGCGTTACAAAGAGGATTAAGAGTAGTAGTAATGTGAAAAAGGAATTCAATTATGAAAAAAAAATGTTTGAAGTTTTAAAAAAAAAATTGAGTTAGTTATTCTATATTACCTTACCAAAAAAGGTCGTAGATCTATGATTTGAACCAAATTGCAATAGTGAGCTGCGGGACACCGCCGCGACCGCACATGCTGCTCATGAGGAATAACCCCTCTGTGGTTCGAAACTAGTAGAGCTTTTCTCAGTATATCCACGTGAGTAACCCGCGATTTTAGTTAAATTGTAACAAATTGGAATTAATTCTAAACACTACTAGAATAATAAATTATCAAATACAAATGCATTGAATGCTGATTTCTAGCATAAAAAACTTCAACCGCAATAAAAAAATAATTTCTAGTAAATAAAACACATTTTTCACAGAACAATATTTTAAACCTATGGTACTATTTGTATTGTCTAAAAGAATGACAGCTAGTAGTGTTGTAGTCGATTCATTTATTCCCGAGGCACATCTCTAGTTCCATATAAACTCTATACACAAATATATATTATACATATGAAGAGTAGTTGCACGGATTTTATTGTCTATTTTTATTACTTTTTATTTATACGTTGTCTATGAAAAGGGAGCGTGACGTGGGGAATTTCAAGTGTCGTTGTGTCAAGTGCGAGCTTATGAGAGCGTTGATTGGTTGAATAATACATCGATTTATATTTTAGTGCTGCAGTGACGCTATCGATATTGAGTAGGGATGTGGTGAATGTCAAAATGTTTGTTTGTGTAACTGACGTGTGTCTTGCAGATATGCGCTTGATGGATGTTTTTATTCTAGATTTTGGAGATACAACTTTAAATTGATGTTGTGGTTTTTCAAGATTATGTTTCAAACAATATATTTGTACAAAAATAGCCAAGTAAATATAAATCCAAAAGTGAAATAAGTCTTATTAATATACGAGTATTTAATACTACTTAGTCATCTTTATAACTTTGTATCAACGTCAACAAATCGGTTCAACAAATCTTCTCTGACAAACAAACTTCTATTCGCACTTTTAATATTATTAGTTAGGATTTGCAAACTTAATATTCCACGGAGGATGTTCTTCGCGAAATTATTATAATAAATTCAGTTTTTATCTCGCGTATCTGTTTGCACTTTTGCACTTATAAATTCAATCCCAGCTTAATCGAGTAAAAGAAATTTATTTAAAATATTAAAGGCTATTGGTAATCTAAATGTAAATGTAATCTATATATAAAGTAATAATGTTCTGATTTATGATGCCTTTGTTATGATTTATTCCTCAGTTTTTTCTTTTAATTCGGTTATTATTATGAAATTTTTATCTTTGATATGACAACCCCATAAATGCCCTTTTCGATCAAACAAATGTATGTTATATTTTAAAACAAAGTAACAATGCAGTTTCTGGCAAACATTAGAATACCGTACGGTGTTTAAACATATTCTTAACCCTTTAATTCGCAAGGTTAGGTA